TCTCTCTCTCTCTCTCTCTCTCTCTCTCTCTCTCTCTCTCTCTCTCTGTGTGTGTTATCGCACGAACAGTGGTAGAGCGTTTTATAACTTGTTTGGAGCTTGTCTCGGAACAGTGTACTAGCTTTAATTTCGAATGAAATTTAACTAAGCTTTAATTTAAGCCCAATTCTAGATAGATGGTTATGAGAACCAAACTTGGAAAGTTCATGGGTGAGAGGTACAAAAAACGAGGGCATTAAACCAAGTGGACGAACTTGAATTTAAAGTCGGGAAGTGCATGCATGATATAAGAAAATGAAGTTAATATATGGGCGAAAACAACGATCCCGCGGGACTACTTCTACCAAAATAAATCTCACAAAAGGAACAGAAGAGAAGAATTCAATAAATTAAAATAAGTTTTTTGTGTAAGATAGATTCTCTCCCCATCCACCATCCACCATATTAAGGGCACACTTACAGCAATATAAACCTTTAAGGAAGCACGTTCGATGTTGAGATTTTATTGAATACGTTTGCGGTTGCTTGTCGGGCATGGATTTTATTACAATATATTGACCGATTCCTACATTAAACCAATAAGGCCAATGCGATAAATGCTCGGTGTATTCAACTGTATAACGCCAATCATGTATGTGTCCCGATTCCGATAAAATTTTAAAATCTAAACTAGAATTTGAAAAACAAAAAAAACAAAAAAAACAAAAAAAAACAGAAAAACAAAAAAACGAATAAATAAATAAATACATAAATAAAAGTTACAGAACTTAATGCAAAACAGGAAGTGCTACCCTATGTCTGCATATTTATGCATATACATATATATGCCCTGAAATTTATGCATGCCCATACATAGTTACATGCATATATAAAATAAGCGCTACATATGCATAAATATTAAGTACTATACTAATTTTCATAGAATGATACGCAATTGATATTAATTAACGCTATTTTCATTATAGATTAGTTTTAAATTAAAATTTTTGTTCGCACTACAAAATAGGAAATCGTATTTTTCTTTTCTTACATTGTAGGATTTAATAGTTTCATCTTACTGAAATCGGCGACATAATTCCAAACATCCTCCGGTTTGGTATTTTTAATAATGCCATCTATTTCATAGCTATGACGGCCGCGGGCACAGATCATATAAATTATTAAACTGCACGCTATCAGTATTGCAATATTCCGTATATTCCAACGACGCATCCTCGTTGATAAAGAGGATAAAATTCTTAAAAAAATAAAAAATTTTTATTTCCAAGTATAAGTATGAGTTGTATCGTTTAAGCGAGAACGAAATTAACTAATGTGTTGAATTTTATCACAAATTTATGAAGGCGATTGAATCAACAATAACAACAACAACAACAACAACAGCCTAGTTTGTATAAACATGCAAATGGTCTTTGGATGTTCGGAGTTTGTTTATGAAACGCAAACGCGTACGTTTGCTGAAAAACGAATATTTCGATTACCCTCTACTTGATGATAAAAGCATATTGAATTTATCATTGGGATAACACTTTCTACGCATTCTACTGATTTTTTCCAAAAAAACCTTAATTCAAAGGACGATTTCATATCGACTACATTACATAAGAATGATATAAAACATGTTAATGAGTTAAAATATGAAAATAGTTTTTCTTTCTTTTTCATTAGAAATTCCTGACCCTTTAGCATCTTTGTTTTTTGATAGCCATGTCAAGAGAATGCAATTTTAAATATATGTAGGTATAGAGAGAGATACTCACCTTTTTGCATTGTGTTCGTCATCGGAACCAAAGGAATATGCCAAATGTCAACAACATGATGAGTACGTAATGTATTGATAGACTCCGGTGATACGAAAGTATCTTAAACAACAAATTAAAGCTTACCAAATGTACGTAACAATCTATATGAAATCTTACAAGTTAAGCACACTTTGGAATTTTTTGGATCGGCTTACTGATATTTCTCTCTAGTTGGCGGACAACTCTCATTTCTTAAGATATAGCGAGTATTCGTAATTGCTTGAACTGCAGATACGCGAGCACCACTACAATAAAATTCACATTAATATTAACAAGTAAGAAAATTACATTCGGATTTCGGGTTACATATATATTCATATATCATTTTTATCAAAAAAAAAAAAAAAAAAATTTGGTTAATCTGTAGTATTGGATGGACATATCCGACTTTTTACCCTTTCAGCAGGTATTGCAGAATTTCTGTTTCACAGTTGAACACTACGTTGCCCAAAGAAGTTATTTTGGCTGCTTTTTAAATCGAATTAGCAAGGAAACAAGTAGGAACATTATGGTCGGGCAAGGCCAATCATTAAATATCCTATACCACATTGTCTAACACAATTCCTTTTTATTATATGACATTACTATTATATATTATGGGTCAATTTTCATCACCACATATTAAAAGTTATACATTTCTGCTCTACAAAGGGTCAACTTTCGTGAAAATCCTTATTAGCATAGGATCCAAAAAACAGGTCAAAATGTACAATTAATTTTTTATATATTAAATTACTATTATAAAAGAGTTTTCATCATAAGCATTGAAAATTAGACCTTATTTTTGTATGAACTTCGGTTTTCGTTATATGGGAGGGGAGTTCAAAAATTGCCCCAGCCGGTTCAAAGTTTTCATAGCCACTTTTGCTAACAAGTTTTGAAAATTGCAATTTTTTTTTCAAAAAGTGGACCGATAGGAACCATTTTCAATAGTGCTCGCGTTATTGTACCAAATTTAATATATCATGTAACACAAGTGGTGTAGGGTATAACTATATTTGTAATGATAAAATTTCTTAAGATTTTGTGACGCTTTATATCTGTTATAAATCCGTTTATTCTATTTACATCCCCTCCCCCCTATAATATAAATGTATGGGCAACACCATCTTGTTTCAGTCTTTCTAGTGATAATAATAATGAGTAAAAAATTCTTTTCTTTTTTTTTTGCGCAGAGGTGCTCTCCGTCTCTTAATGTTCCATTGTAAAGTCTTTTCAACGATTTGGCTCGTTTTTAGTACCAGCCTTCGTGAAGTCTTTGCGATTGGAAGGCTGGAAGTTCATCACAGACAGACGTAGAGAATGCAGAATTTGACAATGAGTATGCACACGTACACATACATACTTTGTAAGGTCGTTAATGGATCCTCCGATGTCTTACTTTAGCTCAAAATCTTCGAGCCTATGAGAGATTGTTCCTATCATTTTTAATCATTTTTATCTCTTATTATTCAACTAACATCTTTATTTTATTCTAACATTACTTATAGCAATGAAATAAGAACTTTCTCTTTATTCATCATCGATCATTTTATAATCCACCAAGAATTAAATTTTCTCAGAGTCAACTTTTTTTGGATGAGTGGAAACACAGCAAGCAAACCAATGTGATGCCTGAAACGTGCGTCATTCTCTTGATTGTTATTCGTTGTTATAGTATGCTATTTTTAAATTTCTTTCATCTTCAGAAAAAGAACTGTTCGTTCTCGAGGGTGCTTTTGAACTTCTTGCAAAAGAAAGCATATTTCCGATAATATATTTGTGCTGACAAAAAGTTAATGCAATAAGAATATTCAAAAAAATTATTAAGGATAAACAGGTGTCGCACATATAACACGATTAATTTGCACTCTACTATGACGAAATCGCGTTACACGCAACTTTTTTATTCATTTACTTTCCAACTACAATATATATACGTATATGTGTAACATACTAAGTTAATAAAAAAAAAAAATAAAAAACATATTCAAAAAATAACAATTACGACCACAAAGTTAATTTTCATCAGCATCATCGAAAATTACAGCTTCTTTCTTTCTTTCTTTTTTCTCACGATTGATTCAACCACCTCTCCATTAGTTATTTCTCCATCAGTACAAAAGTTATCTAACGAAGTTGCATCTACGTGCCTTTTCCGATCTTACGGAGCTGAACTATTTTGCAATTCTCTTTCAAGTTTCCCCTACAGAGGGATCTTTTTGAACCAGCAAATTTCTAATTCTTGAGCTAAAGCTAGTCGTTCTCGCAGATCAATTAAATTCCAATGAAGACTCGATCTAAGAATGTGTGTACCATTTGTACGATAATTATGTCTCGCTGCCAACAGTTAACGGCAACAAGTTTCCTAACTTTTCTTTCATTCTTTTTTTTTTTTTTTTTTTTGTATAGGTGAGTAGTATCTTCGATTTAAATAAACTTTCGTTTAGATTTTTGCTTATTCGTCTTGTCGGACATTGTTCAAATTTATATTAACTATAAACAGTGCAACTTAGGTTCTTACATCTAGCAAGTCAATGGTCGTGGGTTCGAATCTCCTCGAGTGCGGCAGAGTTTTTAATAAAAGCCGATAGCCTTAGCTGCTAGTGCTTTTAAGAGTTTAGTCTTAGAATTTATTTCTCTGGCGAAATTAATAATAATAATAACAATAATAGGTTCTTACATACCTCAAATTGAAATTGTTATACGTTTACAAACTTTCAAAGCAGGGTTATCACCCACTAAGCGCTTTTCTCACTTTTCGCTATTTACTTTTCAAAATGTTAAAAAAAAAGCAAGATAAAACTTTATCAACCGCAGTTACAAAGAAGAAAACGAATACCGTCATTTCCAAAAAGAAAATCGATGAAAAATGAACGCAAATGAAAACAAAATTTATCGTTATACAGATTCGATCTTTTTAAATCGTATTATATCAAAACCACACATAATAATCGCATATTTTGCATCATTTTATATCGAAATACCGCGTTATACGATGCATGTATTCAGAATTTTATATTTTTAAAAAATGTTTAAAATGGTAACACCGCAACTATTCTTAGAAGGAATCTTCCATTTAAATGAGTCTCTATTCGCTGATAAACGTATTCTTCGCTGTGTTTGATTAAGTAATTTTCATACACAATTTTGCAATATTTCGAAATTCTTTGGCAAGTATGCTCGAAACGAACCAGCTTTCCTCGGTGGGAATGATCTCTCAATGGCTTTCAGATAACCAAGGGGTTTGCCTGAGCTCCATCCTTTTCAATGTAAATACAGCAGCTTACATCGCTCTCTCATTAATAGAACTACATCTCCTTTGGGTACCAAATTATTCTGACCTTCAGCTCAGAAAGCTCAGAAAGCTGACCGCCTAGCCAAAGAAACTATCCCTAGGGGAAATCGTTTTCAGTATGTGTAGACGATGACTTATTACTGCAAAAGCTTGAATTTTATTGCGGCTTCAGTACATCTGCGATTAATTTAATTAGCTCACAATTTCAAAAATCGCTATCAATGTATGGTTGCTGGCGATTCTTCTCCGGAAATGAGGTTCATTACATCTGGTGCCCCCAAAGTATCCATTTTGAGGCTTATCTTAATTAGTGCCTTTATAAATAAACGACTTGCTCGCTTAGTGTTTCGATTGTAGCATTCACTTATACGCTCGCGCGTCTCGCGTTGAATTTGTTGGAGATCTGGTCCAGCGAATAAATGATTATTTAGAGCGCATTACTCTCTGGTCTGATTTGAACCGCAGATAATGTACAGAAGCAGGTCAATACTTACTGACTGCTGCAACACCCGCCTCAGTAGCCGGGTAAGTAAAAATCGCAACTAGCAAGTCTGTGTTCGCGGGTTTAAATCTCATTGCTGGCGAAGACTGATTTTAGCTATAGCGAAAACTCAGTCGATAGAGGCATACAACACTTATCAATTGTGCACCCATACTCCTGGTTGCAGCTATCACCCACTTCATTATTTCTTTCTTTCTGGCCGTCACCACGTTACATGAACGGGGTTAATATTTACATGACAAAATCCAATTCTCATTTATATTAATAATAATTTTAAAATTAATTCATCGAAAATACTCTACATGCTTTCCGAGAAAATGTCACTTTGGAAGCATTAAGAAAAATTTAAATGTAACGAATAAAAATTGCAAAAAATTGTTTTGAGAAAAACACGTTGAATGATTTCGAATGTATTACAGAGATGTTTTCTATTATAACACATTTTTTATTAATTTTTCCCACTAGTTTGCTATATCAGAGACGTAAATGTACTCTTACGTGCTTATTCTCTTTATCAAAATCAAAGTTCTTATCATAAAATTTTAATTTCTTCGCAGAAGCATTAACCTCTTTTGAATTACTCTTAAAGTTGTATCTACCGAGCGATCGTCATGATGGTCTCTTCGGAGCATAAGGAAAAGGGCTGGGAATTTCAAGAAAAATATTTCTTTCACGTGGTGGACTTTTAATCCATTTTCTAGAAAATTTACAGCATCTATTAAGCCAGTTAAAGAAAATTTTTTGCTCGGAAAATTTTTTACCTTACCCACCCTTCTTTTATATTCATCACGAAAGACATGTCCAATTTGCTAAACGCTCGTAGCATTTGAATTCTTTATACTCAGTCAGTGAATGGTGGCGTTGACATTACTTATATCTACTAATTTTTCCATACGTGAACTACGGGTTCATTGAAAAAGCGAATAGAATAGCTTCTTATTTTCTTCTTTCTTGGAACGTTAAGTTCGTTTTCAAAAGTTCATAAGGTCCTAACAAAACGTGCATGTCAAGTGTGTTTATTGATCCCGAGCCTTCTAACCACAATTTTGAATGTATTCTAAAGTAAATACTTGCAATATGTTTAACTATATTTATCATATTTTTTCTTTAGTGTTTACTTGCTCAGTAATAATTCATTTGAATTCCAATTTTCGATTTCACTAAAGGTTCCTCCGTAAGAGTTGAAACTTACACTGATGTGTATCATGATCGTGATCAAACAAGAGTTGAAACTAACACTGATGTGTATCATGATCGTGATCAAACAAGAGCAAAATACAATTTTGTGAGAGAATGTAGTAATAGTATGGCAAGAAGCGAGAATTTGATTGAATAAAATTATCGCTGCGCGAGCTACTTGGGAGAAGGTAAATACTGTTTCGAATTAAAAACTTATTTACTTTAGTGATAAAGTTTTATTGTTATTATTAGTAAAGTAAATAAGGTGGCATTAGGATAAGATCTAAGTGAGTTTACAATTTAAAAGTCGCAGATTTGTTGATAGGCGACTTGCCGCGATTGTGTAACATTATTTTATGAAAGGTGACATAAAATGGCCTTGAGTAAACTTATTTCATCGGTATTCGATTTGGTTGATATTCTTCTACTTGAACAAGCTATGAAAGAATAGTATGGAAAGAAAATGAAAAATTATTTCTGACAATAAAACTGATTGGAGAACAGGTATTTCAAATAATTAAAAATGTACTTAACAGAATATCCTGCGGGTGCAGATAGTATGATGAGTTGGTCCGTTCGTGTGCTTTTATTCTTGCAATGACGATTTAAATTAACTGTAAAAAATTGTATTATTATTATAAAATATTAATTTTAAAGTTTGACTTGACTATGTCCGTATGCCTGCCAGCCTTAGAAGCTATCTAAGCAGAGGTTTTCACGAAAAATTCGAAAATTCTCTTACATTTATTTTCAAAGATTGTCAATTTTTTAAAAATTAAATAAAAGTAAATACATATTTTTATACACAATCGTAGTAAGTTTAGTAATTATTGAGCCTACTCGTCCTTTTTTAAAAAAGATATAAATATACGTATAATTTCGGAAATTATTTTAAATTGGAATTGTTTCTTTGACGACTTTATAAAGCTTAGAGCGAACGAAAATTTGACTTAAAACTGATTTGTGGATTAAAACGCAGTAACCGAACGGATCGGGATTAGCTGTTCTTTATCTATCTATTAAATTTCTGATTTTTTTGTTTGTGTCATATGTAATCAGCAGCTATCAGTATATAACGGCCGATGTACGTTCCAGCGTTACAAACAATATGAGGAAAATGGCGTACGTCTATCCACAGATGATGTGTTGCGAAAACTAAGTAAACGCTAAATAGTAGCATTCATTCATTTCATTCATTCATTTATTTAGTGCACAAGCAGAGCTCAGCACGGCTTGTTGGATTGGATTAAGCAGTGATATCGTGTAGAAACGAGAAATTAATTTTCTAGCCGTATTTACGTCCACGCATTTATTTACATTATCGTTTCATGAATAAACAGTGTACGCACTGCATATTTACTTCCTTCTTATTACGTACTTTCAAGAATGCCTTATAACATATAACGCTATCTTCCGTGAAACTTTTTTTGATAATTCATTTAAAATAATTTCAACGAGCAAATACGTAAGCTATACTGCAGTAACTAATACATGAAACCCTTCTCATCACCACTTGGTATTTTGGTGTCGTCTCTTCTTTCATTTTGCATTTTTGATTATGCTTTCTGTGATTTCAGGCAACTAATATGTCTTTGGTGAAAAGTTTTCTTAAAACACCTGATGTTTGCAATAAAGTAATATCGTCATTATTTGTAATGACAAATAATGTCAAGGCATGCACAAACTTAAAAAACTTAAAACATTTCAATTCGTGTTGTTTTTTTACGACGTCGACGAATGTAAAACCTGTGCATCAACCTGTTAGTGAGACATTTGTAAAGGTAATTGACTTGAAAATAATAAAACTTATTTAATTACTTCGCAACAGTCGCGAGTGTTTCTCTGTCTATACATTAGCGTTTGCCTCTTCTCGATTTGTTGATTTGCTTTAGAGTTTAATGAATTTTATTGTCCGTGATAAAAAAAATCCATACACATTTTTTTTTTTGCAGGCTGCAACCTCAGAGATAACCTCTGCTGCTTCACCTCTAACTGATAAACATGGCCGAGCTCATACATATTTAAGAATCTCTTTGACCGAGCGCTGCAATCTTAGATGTAAGTAAAATATATTAATTACATACAATAGAGATTCGTTGTAAATTAATTCCAGTGTCAAATAATAATTTCATATCCGTGTTGAATTGAAAGTTGTACAAATATATATACACATAAAGCAACTAAATTCAAAATACATTATGCAATTTTTGATTAATTATTGTATCTATTAGTGGATCAATTGGAAATGTAATTACTTTACTTATACTTTGGGGAGATTCGAGGTAGCTTCATGACCAACTTCACTCCATTGCTTATCATAATTTCTAAATTATTGACTTGCAGTGCTAGCTCATGCTGCTTATGAGTTGATTGATTTAGTTTATTTTCAAATTTGTTGCTGTTAAGAAGGCACTGGGGCGACCAATGCCTAAAAGAGCGCATTAGGATTCTCCGAATGTAGTATTCATCTTCGCTTAACATCTAAGGCTTTAGATCTAAGCGGCTTTATGGATAAATACCGCATTTTGGATTGGAACCCACGACCATTGTGTTGTTGTATATAAAATATGCATTATATATAATAATGCTATTACCCGGACTTTCAAAGAGAAATTCGTTTTTCTAAGACAAGCCTCGGTGTTTATTTAAATTTTAATCTAAACCGTAATAAAATATTTAACTACTTTTTAGGTAAATATTGCATGCCGGCCGGCGGTGTACCGTTACAAAACAAATCCAACTTGCTTACCACAGATGAAATTTATTATTTGGCCCGTATTTTTGTAGAGCAAGGCATCAGAAAGATACGCTTAACTGGCGGAGAGCCTACAATCCGCACCGACATTGTTGATATCATTGGTAAGCAAATCGCTTTAGAATAAGTGCACTTCTATCGATATTGAAAATGCCTCCTTTCAGCAAAACTTAAAGGCATTTCACAATTGGAAAATGTCGGTATAACTACAAATGGTTTAATGTTAACGCGTCTTTTGGTATCCATGCAACGTGCTGGCTTAGACGCTCTCAATATTAGCTTAGATACTTTGAAACCGGAACGCTTTCAGGAAATAACGCGTCGCAAAGGTTGGGAACGTGTGATAGCGGGCATAGATTTGGCCATACAATTGGGTTATAAGCCCAAAATCAATTGCGTATTAATGCGCAATTTCAACGATGATGAAATCTGCGATTTTGTTGAATTCACCAAAGAGCGTAACGTGGATGTACGTTTTATCGAATATATGCCTTTTAGTGGTAATAAATGGCAAACAGAAAAGCTAATGTCCTTCCGGGATACGTTGAAAATTATAAACAATCGTTGGGCCGATTTGAAGGCGCTACAGAATGGCCTTAATGACACATCAAAGGCCTACAAAGTTCCGCATTATAAAGGCCAAATTGGTTTTATAACTTCAATGACTGAACATTTTTGTGGAACTTGCAATCGTTTACGTTTAACCGCCGACGGCAATTTGAAAGTTTGCTTATTTGGCAATAAAGAGTTTTCTTTGCGAGATGCAATACGCGCTAATTGCTCCCGCGACGACTTAGTGACTTTAATTGGGGCTGCTGTGAAACGAAAAAAAAAACAACATGCGGGTAAGTAAAATTGCTTTAAAAATTATGAGCAACATAAATCATTGGAAGGCGATTTATTTGTACTTCTCATAGGCATGCTAAATCTTTCACAAATGGAAAATCGTCCAATGATATTAATTGGTGGTTAATCCAAAACATTGAACCATACATACAACAGGTGGGTAAGACACAAGCTGTTTAATTCAGCTATAAGTTAATTTTTTACAAACATTTCTTCAGGTACTCGCACCAAAACTCATTATTCCACAAATACATCTTTATTAATCTCCGATTCAACGAACACGTCAATGCTCTCCTTACTAAGGAGTAAGCAATTCTCTAAATTCTATTGTACGAATAGCAAACAGGGACTTACACATGTCGATAACGACGGTAAAGCTTCCATGGTGGATGTTTCCCATAAGCCGATTACCGTAAGAGAAGCCGAAGCTAGTGCCAATGTACATGTGACTCCAAAAATTGTCAATCTTATTCGCTCTAATAACTTAAAAAAGGGTGATGTTCTTAGCGTCGCTCAGTTAGCGGGTATTTTAGCTGCAAAGAAAACTTCAGATCTAATACCGTTGTGTCATAATATAAGCATAACATCTGTAAACGTTGAGGCTGTATTGGATTCAGACAATCACTTGATTAAACTAAAATCTAAAGTAAGATGTTGCGGCCAAACTGGTGTTGAGATGGAAGCATTGACCGCCGTGACTATAGCTGCTCTGACAGTGTATGACATGTGCAAATCTATAACTCATAATATCATCATAAGCGATATACGCTTAACTGCTAAGAGCGGTGGTGAAAGGGGTTCGTTTAAATGTATTTAGGCACATAATACAAGCACATTTTGCGGGGAAGCTCGTAGACTTGCATTTTTTATTTGGTTTTAATTTCAATTTATTAGTTTGCATTACGAATAAAGCATATTGAAAAAATTTGAATGCTGTTTTACTGAGTTTATAAATAATAATGAGATACATTGATTTTACAAACTAAAGAAATATTGATCAGGTTCTTATTTTTGCAATTTTAATTATTTAATCACTTAGAATATACAGAAATAGCATTTATCATTAATTAATTCGACACTAACACATTGCGATTTTCCGATTTTTTTTCTTCTCGCTGCTGAGATTTCTGTTCACCAGCAACCGGTTCACCTCGAATTTTTATATTGTGCTCTTCCTTGTATTTATTGATTTGCTGACCCTTCTTAGTTAGATCCTCTGTGACCTTTGTAATGGTTTTTTCTATGAAATCTTTATTCTCTATTAACTGAGGCAGAACAGCTCTTACGGTACGTTCACACAATACTCCACCAATAAGTCGAAAGCATTTACGATCTGGATCCACTGTTTTCAGTGTGTCTATCACAGTCCTTTGAAATAAAATCATCACAAAAATATTGAGGTTATGTTTATTTTTGTTCTTTTGAACTTTTAACTCACTTGTGTTCTTTTAGATCCATTTCTAAAGTGTTCAAATTATTTATCAAATTCCTCTGCTCATTTCGCAATTGTTGAAATTCATCTACAGCTTTTTCCATTAATTTTGCATCCTTCACTTGCTCACTAGACATTATTTTCAAAAATTTTACAACAGTTGCACGCACAGAATTAAAAAAGAAATTCTTTGCTTTTTTTTTTTTGACTTAAAACCGTGATAGTGTTACCAAGATTTAAATTTACGTCTATCTGAGGTATTTGATAATCAGAAGTAGGCGTTTATTAAATTGTTTATATATTGGCAACCTTGTAGTTACTAAAGTTTTGCGTTTTTACTTTCAACCAATGAAAATTACGGTGTACGCAGAGAAATTAGATAAAATAAAGTGAGTGGCTATATCTGATGTTCTAAAACATCAAAGAAAAAGAAAACATGCTACAAAATATTATCGACTTTTGCAATTACTGGTGGTTTCGCTATTTGATGGTAACCGAGCTTTACATGGTTGAAAAATGGGAGAGAATAACTATACGTAAGTATCAATGGCAGACATAATAATTAATAATCAAGTTTCTCAATGTTTATTAATTTACTGTTATTTATTTATTTTTGTTAATAAATGTAAAGACAATGAATGATTCATATTCGTAGTAGTCGTATTAACCAATTTTCTTTTTATTTTTTTACATGTTTATCTGCCGGCTTTGTGCTTCTTACTATGGTCATTTCTTGAGACTTCTTTCAGATGTTATATTCGCTGTACTTTTTGGACTCTTTTGGTACTTTAATTATTCTGTATTGCTTTCATTTACGGGCAGTCTATTAGGCATAACACCGGTATCTAATATTGTGGAGCCACAAGGCAGTAAAATAATATAACAAAGAGGCGTTACACTATCAGCAAAAGCATTAACTATAAAATCATTTATCTCTGTAAAAAGTGAGAGTGATTTTAATTTGAGTTATTATAAAAATAATTTTTCCAAAAACAAATGTACCTTAGCACAATTTCCCAAAGCACCAAAAGCCTCTTGGGGACAAAAGTACATTGACATCTTATGTTGTATCCCGCAAACGAAAGCACTGCGGCCCACCTAAATGGCTTTTTATATGTATAAAAAAGAAAGGATTTTTACAAAAAGTGAAATATAATCATTTTCTTCTTTTACAACAACTAAAATATTGATCTCTAAGATCATCATATATCTTCAATTAATTTATGTAAATATAATTTAACAAATAAAGGAAAGAATGCCTTATTTTATTTTACTATCATTACCATATAAAATTATTTTAGACGATTTAGTTTACATGGTATAGAAAACATTCGCAATTTTCATGCCAAAACATATGCATTGGCCAAAATTACCTCTTTATTTATAAGATCTAAAAGCAAAAGGAACGTATTTATATCCAGCGTAAAATCGCAAGTCAATGGAATCATGCATGCCTGCAGCGTGCCGCATCAGAAGCTCACGCAATCAGTATTGATATAAGAACCTGAGATCGTATATATTCACTTGATTACCACAAATCAACATTCGAAACGGGCTTGACCAGCATACAGTAGCAAAAAACTACAGCCAGGGAGGCAGAGTTTTTATCTAAATCTGACTTCAAATATTCATCAGTGCAGTCGGAAAGTTGCTAAGTTGTTCCCTAAAATTACAATTATATTTCTGGTAGAAAAATGTTTTATGTCTAAAAGACTGACAACTTATTGTGGCGTACAACATTTGATTTTCTTGAAGAACGGCGCTGTTCTTTTATCTCCTTTGGGGATTTTAGATCGAGTTTTCAGTATATTGCTTTGTTCAAAAAATATGTCAAATTTAATTTTATTTTTTTTTAAATTCGTTTATTATTCCAAATCCATTATGTCGCCTTCAAAGTAATTCCCCTCAGACACTAAATATTTGAGCCAACGTTTCTCCCAATCATCAAAACGTCGTGATATTCGATTTCCAGAATAGCCTTCAAAGCTTCTTGCGATTCTTGTATCTATTCAATCGCGTTAAAATGCTGTGCCTTTTGCGAAAAGCTTCAAGCAAATGATCCACAAAATTAAAATAATATTCCATGTTAACAGTTTGGGCCGGCGGAAGGAACTCGTAGCGCACAACGCAATGGTAATCGAAAAAAACTGTCGACGTCACTTCGACTTTGCCGCGGTGTCGTCGGTTTCGACCCACGTTTTGCACGATATTTCAATAATTGTTAATCGACGGCTTTTGAGCACCGAATCCTTGGTTAATGGTCGCCCGGGATGCTCTTCGTTTTCAATCAGTTCTCGGTCTCCTTTGAAATGTTTAGATCACTTGTAAACATTTCTTTTTGACAAAGTCTGCTCATTACGGGTTCTTTGCAACATACTAAAAATGCTAAAAGTTTTGTCACAAGAAATTCCATTTCGCAAACAGAATTTAATGCACCTTCTCAAGCGAACCGATAATAAAATTGCAGCTGCTGAGATCAAATTTACATTAATATTGATTATAAAACAAGCAAAGCTAACAAAAATCTTTCTTTTAGAGTTGCATTTGCGGAAAGATATAAACAGCTGTTAGGAAGTGACTTATTAATTCAAAACACTGAAAAAGGTGAAATAAATTAAAATGCGTCCGAAATTACATATGTAAATTGTGAATGAAGAGAAAACATATATGAGTAAAAAAGTACCATTGTGTACATTTCCAGCATAATGTTTCGTAACTTCCTCTGGTACTCGTTCTTTGAAGAGGAGAACAAGGACATCCGCAACGCAAAAGAAAGGATAACTAAGAGACAGGCGAGAAAAGATATACGGGATGCAACTGACCACCTAGCGCTACCTCAAAACCAGTAAATAAATTGTTTCTAACATTTACAAACCACGTATAAATACATGTTATATCGTTGTATGTAGTTTTATGCATAAGTTCCGCGTTTCCAAAGTGGCTTTTTCTTACGTCCTGGATAAAATTGGTATGACTGATGGTATAATATATACCGGTGGTGTTGAACTTAATCGTGATTTATTGACTTCAGGAGGTTATCAATGCCTGGTCTGCAGCGATCAAACGGTAAATACTGTGCAGAGCAGCTTACCAACCGTTGTACCAGAGGTGTTCCAAGAGTTGGAAACAAAACTTTGTGTGGAGTAGATTCATAGACTGTAAACGTAGATATAAAGGGTTAAAAAGACAAACATACATTTTAAAATCATTCTTCAATAAAGAAAGTGTTCTTTTAAATTTAAACAAAAAATATGTAATGTTTTTAAATTTTGACTTGTACTAGCAGTTCAACGACCATTATAATAATTTTGCTATTTATTACAGTTTTAATTGAATGTGTTGATGGAACGCGCATATACTTGTTAAAGTCAGTGGAAAATGAAGCAATTTTCATTAATCGGGAAGGAAAACAGCGCAAACGGAAGTAAGTAATCTGAATATTGGTGTAATAACTTTTTTTTATGTACATAAATGTAAACTTTTTTTCTAAAATTGTGACTATGAAATGGATATCATGGTGGTCAATTTCAAATTTCCTGGATCTTCCCATAATTCGAATTGTAGGGAAGTACTCCGGTGAAAAAGTTTACCTGGAAAACCATTAGAGGGGCTGCACAACATTTGGATTCACTATGAAGAACTCCAGAACTCCAGGTGACTTATGAAAATAATAGTATGAACGTTTGTGTGGGAGGCACCTTAATTAAAGCAGTTGGGCGAACAGATTACAAGACTGTTGTCAGGAAATTTGTAAACATAATCTTAAAAATATAAATAATTATCAAAGATGTTACTTGCACAAAAATTTACATGAAAGTTAAATAAATACCGAAAGTATTACTCCCTGTTTTGATTAAAAGGCAACTTTTTATATACCGTATCTTCTTTTTATTAGTTGATATATGACCATACAAGCGGGTACAAATTACTTCATTATTTTTTCCACTCGTCAAATTCTATATAATTTTGTATTCATTTCATTTTGCATATTTGTTATAGTTTATCATATGTAGTTTGTTTATGCAAATTTAGCCCTTATTTTTTACGCCTCTTTCAGTTGTTAATTGCAGTGGAAAATTTAAAGGAAAGTATTGGAAAGCTGGCGACAATGTAGCATTATTAGCCTCTTGACGACAATCAATTGTTTCCTCCAAAAAACCTAGTGACGGTTGACTACTTATATAGTTACCTTTCTGGTGTTCGATATACCCACGGAATTTAAATTGAATATTGCTCTTAATTTTTGAACACGGTATTATATTTGATTATAACCTTTTGTAGCATGCATTGAAATTATTTTATTTATTTTTAGGCTGTTCAATTAACACCTGATAAAATTTGTTTTTCTTAATAAACAAATCTTATAGTGATCCGGTTATCAATTTTCTTAAAAACGCTTCTCTCTCCCTTCTCCCCTTTCAGTAAAAAAAGCAAAAAGGAAAACGATTATTTTATTTAACTTTCAAAAAAAATTAAAGTTTTCGTTTTGGTTCAGCTGTTTGTAAGTAAACAATTTTGTTTGGAATCCATTTTATGTTCAATTTATAGCTCTCTGCTTTAATAAACGTAGCTTTAAACAGCCAATATTAACTAAGAGCAATCAACTTTAACGCAAACTGTGCGTAATTTTTCTTAAGCCTGTTTTAACAATTTTGAGAGAGTGTTTTACGCATTTTCTTTTGCGTACCTAGAGCTAAGCAAATTGAAACTTGAAAATGAAATCTAGTTAACGTCGTACATAATCAATGCCGGTAAATACATTCCCACAAAGTCTTGTACAAAGTTGAAGTCCCACTCCGAAAAACGAAATAATGTGTCAATGTGATGAGAACCTTAGTTAGTGATAGATGCTAGTTTATATATCGAAATCGAATTAGCCGAGCCCATTTATATATTAATTGTGGTTACAAAACAATATTTTTACTCTTATTTCATTTAAAAATTATGACAATTGTTTAGAAAATTCCAATGAGGTTTTATGAACATAATTATCTGTGAATCTGCCCTTACACAAAAATTTACATTTGTAGCGCTATTACATTATTTTTTTTTGCATTGAAGCTTGGTTGCGAAAGACTTGGTGCAATTTAGCAATAAATGACTACAAATAATTTAACACAGATGCTTTCCCGATGCTTTTTTTAAATTTATTTACTTATTTAAAAACTAAAATAAAACTAAAATTCAAGTTAAAGTTAGGATTAATAACAAGTCACAAGTATGTTATTATTATAGGAGTAAAACTAAGCGTTTTCTATATTAAAACGCATGTGAACAATTGTCTATTATCAAAACGACAGCTTAATGTTCTATGGTATGACAAACAATTAAATGATTAATCCGATCCTGTCATTGTAAAAAAGTGACTCAATTCGTGTGAGTCCAAATATTATAGAAGGAGACATTCACTTATTTCTTTCATGTTTTCCCTGAATAATTTTGAATGTTTTCGATTAAAGCTCTATCAGTACCAAAGTGTATAAAAATAAATTATATTGTAACCGAAAAGGTGACAAACTTTACATTCCGATGGGCTTGTACTCATACGATAAAAGCAAAAATCGAAATTTTTAATTTTAAAGTAAGCAACACTGTTATTTGCTTGTGAAAATTTACTATAGAAAGATGGTCGCGTAGGATTTTTTCTTTAAGTTTTGATATATCATGAATATAAACTTTAATACTAAATTATTCAGTAAGGGTATTTAAAATATTTTCGTAAATATGTAAACAATTTATATTTTGTTTATATTGTTGTGTTAAGTGAGAAGTGGGAAAAAATCAATATAATTATTAGAAGAAGAACAAGCATATAACAAAGATTTTACTGTAAATATGAGTATTTTTCGTTTAATGTGTTTGAATAGAATAAAAGAGCTCAAAAAAGATGCAACAGAGAAATCAATTTTAATTATTAATACGTATGTACATATGTATGCATATCACACATACGCAAGTTTTACAATAATAATATTTTTCAGAATTTCCTGTTGAGGGAGAAAATATGTAATATGTCATAGTACTGAGTCTAAGAGGAAAACACATTAAAATGTCTTGAACATATTAAGGGCCAGAACAAACGATCTTCTCTAATTATAGATAATATTGTTAATTCTTATTGGGTTAAAAGTAATTAACCGTAAACAATAGCGTTACTATTTTGAGTGTTCATACTAATGAAAATCAGCATAAGTTAGTTGACAAAGTTTTTAGTATGAGGAGTAATAGCATCCTTTTATATAGGTCTAAGCACAGTTTTGGATTTAAGTTAATTGCCGGGCATCTCATCGATTCAAATAGCCAAATGATTACGAAACCTTACACCTTTTTAAGTATATTATTAATTTTACATAAGGAACATTATCCTTGAGGTAAGGTACCCGCTTGTTGTGTACGAATGTTTTTAATATAAACAAGAAGTTGTGATAAATTCATCTGTTATAAGGCTAATTGATTGGGAACACTTTTTCTCCATCATTATAAGCATGTATGTACATTCGTTTGTCCAACTTCTTTGCTACAGATTATCAATACGATCATGATCATGGTCGTCTACATTCCCAAAATTAATCATTCATTTACTTCGTTATATTGCAGTTGAATCAATCTTACACGATTATTACGATTTCAGCAAAAACTTATTTAATATTAAATAGGTTTTCATTTTAAACGACCGTCTGGCGTTTACCGTTAAACAGCCAAAAGGATAAGTATATGCGATTTAATGGACTCATCCTGTTACGTTAAGAATGATTGCACAGAATGTATGAATTGACCCACTCTTACACCCAGAAATGCCTGCCAAAATAGTTCATATGATAAATGAACGCATATATATATATATATATATATGCTCATATAAATTGCATTCTAAATATTACATATAAAACTAACGAAGCCATTCCAAAAAATTTTAGAATGCTGAAATCGAGATTTATAAGAATGTTAAGATCTTAAGCCTTGAACAAAGATATTAATTATATTGGAATAAGCGGTTTATAACTGATTTTTATTAAAATTTATTGTTGTACAGGAACTATGTGGAAGACAACATCCATTAAGTTTACAGTACTTGCGCCGTTAATGATGACACCAAAATATGTACTTTAAGCAAAATAAATGAGCAACGTATCAGAAATTTCATGGGAACAAAAAGAAAAGTAGAAATCAAAAATAAGTTATAACCTAATCTAAGTACACAGCAAATTTGTGCTTTCAAAGAAACTCATCTTTAAAAACCTCATACTCATATACCACCGCAAACGCTCCTTAAAAAAATGGATGGTCAACGTGCTCGAGATATTCTTACGCTGCTGCAAGAACGCGTCGTTTTTCTTACTGGCGGACGCGACCGTCGTGGTGGTCCCCTACTTTGTTTTCCAGCAACACCACGCCGGGATCGATTAAAACCAGAAGACCTTCGACGGTTGCTAAGTTACCTAATTATGATTCCGAGGTAAGTTCAATAACCTAGCATTCAATGGAAATCCTTAAACATGAATTTGAAGGTAGTATTATAAATTTAGTTAATGCGTAACTTGTACCCGTAACGCTAATGCGTAACTTAGTTTCCTCATATATCAGTCTATACAAGCGCGGCTATCATATAGATTGTATACACTTTCAGTCGTTTGCGGTTTGTACTAATAATATATATAAGAGACCGCTACGCTAACAAAAATTCATTATCCCAGTTTTAGATTAAAGGTCTGTAAATGTACTAATTTATGAATTAATTGCATGCTACAGAAAGTTGTACATGTAAATAATTCAAAACAATAATCATTCCTTAGCTTAACACAACCATTGTATAGAAGAAATATCGATAATAATGCTATTAACTAAACTGAAAGATAACACATTTTAATTAAATTTCAGCGATTCAGCTAAGAATCTTGGGTTTACAGTCATAATTGATATGCGCGGTAATGGCAATTGTGCTGCTAATGTGAAAACAATACTGAAAGTAATGCAAGAACACTTCAGCGCCAATATACATAATGTTGTTATTATAAAACCAGATAATTTTTGGCAGAAACAGCGGGCATCTATTTCTTCACACAAATATAAGTTTGAAACATCAACCATTTCTATTGAAACTTTAAATAAAGTGGCTGAAGCTAATCAACTGACTTCGGATTTCGAAGGCACGCAAGTTTACGATCATCAACAGTGGACTGAAGCGAGACTGGCCATAGAAGATTTTTTTTGGCAAGCTAGTGATTTGGCCGATCGCATCGATGATTTGCAGGAAGATTTGCAGCGCAACGATTTTGCTGAAGATGTAAATGGTGCTCGCCACGCCTTGGATCATCATAATGAAATGAAGAAAAAGATTCTAAAGCTACCTGTTGAGGATTTAGATTTGCAGGGTAAAAAACTGCTATCAAAAATAAACTTTGGTGTTGGGTGCAGTGGTGGTCCGGTAGGTGCAAATATATTTATTTTTGGTGTTTATAAACCAATTACTTTATAGAGCAATGCTAGTGGAACTGAGTGCGGTAGTCATGATTCAGCAACGTCAACCCAAACACAAAACTCTTCACCGGGTTTTCGAGTGGCTACCAACAATCCCGATATGTCGGCTGCCATTAACAAGGCTCTTCGTCAAACGGATCTAATCCATTCTGGCCAGCAGCGTTTACTTAATTTATGGCAGCATAAAAAATCGAAGCTGGATCAATGTTTTCAATGGCGACTATTCGAACAGGACTGCGAAAAAATGTTTGATTGGATTTTGCACAACAGAGATGTATTTCAAATGTCTTACGTAGAGATTGGGCATAACTATTCTGTAGCAAAATCTTTACAAGATGAACATCAAAAATTTGCGGTAGCTTCAATGAATGTTTCTGTCAATATTGATCGCATATTAGCAGTGGCGTCTCGACTTATTGAAAGTCAACATTATGCGGCGCAAAACATCAAAACTCTCGCAACGCGTTTAGATCGTACTTGGAAGGACTTTGCTGCAGGCTTGGACGAAAGGACGGCTGTATTACAGTTAAGCGTGTTATTTCACCACAAAGCGGAGCAGTATTGTAACAGTGTGTCTTCCTGGGCAGCAGCGTGTCAAGCATCCCAACCCTTGCCATCGGACATTCAGAGCTTGGAAACAGCAATACGAACTCATCAATCTCTATACGAAGCTATGTGTCAAGCATATACTGAAGTGCATTCAACAAGTAAAAAACTATTATATCAATTAGATCATTTGGTACAGGTCTGCAATCAACCTCCACCACCCGGAATGCCAGACCATCGCAAGAATAGTAGCTTCAACAAATATGAACGTCAAAATCCAGCGGCTGACTACAGCGAGGGGGCATCTCATGTTTTAGCAGTTATCCATCAAATTCTGGGCCATCATCGTTCTCTAGAGGCTAAATGGCATCAAGAAAAAATTCGTTTGCACCAGACTTTAGCGCTAAGGCTCTTTCAAGAAGATGTCAAGCAAGTTCTAGATTGGCTTAAAAACCACGGCGAAGTGTTTGTGCGCAAAAACACAGGTATTGGCCGAAATCTTCAAAAAGCACGCGTTTATCAAAAATCGCACGAACACTTTGAAAATGTAGCCCAAAATACGTACAGTAACGCGGAGAAGTTACTGGCTGCTGCAGATGAATTAGCCCGCAGTGGAGAAGCTGACCCCAACGAAATTTATTCAGTCGCTCACGAACTTGAAATACAGGTTGCAAACTTTGCTAAGCGAGTCGAACAAAGAAGACGGCGACTTGATATCGCGGTGATTTTCTACACCCATGAGAAAGAAGTTATATCATGGATAGATCAATTACGAGCAGATGTTTCAACGGATGAGACGATGTTATCACAAGAGAATCTTGAAGGAATTGAACGTTTACTACAACAGTACAGGGAGCAGCAAGATAGCACTATAAAGGGCTGTATGCAAACTATAGCGCAAGGAGAAGCATTGCTGCAAGAAATGCGTGCACTGGAATACTCTGATAATACTGGTTCAATATCAGCATTGGAAACAACTCTCGAAAAACTATCAAAGCAAAAAGTAGAATTGGAGGAATTATGGACTGCACGCAAATTTCGTGCTGAGCTAATACTGCGATTGCGTTATTTTGAGCGCGATGCAATGGAATTGTCCTCGCAATTAGAAATTTGGTCGGAAGAATTGCAACATGCTGATCTTTCGCGCGATTATCAAAAAGCAGAACAATTGATACGAATGCACAACGAATCAGTCAGTGACATACAAAATGCTACTTATGAGGTACTCGAACAAGGGCAGGAGTTGTTGCAAATTTTTGAATCTGCCGGTTTTATATCGATGGCTGACGCTACGCACACTGCTCAAGCTCGTATAGAGTATTTATTAAACTTTTTGCGTGAGCGCGAAATAGACCTGGAGGAACTATCAGAAGCAAAACGCGCTAAACTGGAACAAGCAGTTCAGCTTTGCCAATTTCAAAATGATGCAAATCAAGTTATATCGTGGATTCGCAACGGGGAAGCCATGTTGGTAGCCAGTTTTGTTACTCCGAATAGTTTACAGGAAGCCGAGCAGCTACGCAAAGAGCATGAACAATTTCAGGTGGCCATCGAAAAAACCCATACATCTGCAGTTCAGGTAAAATATCGAGCTGACGCTCTTATAAATGCCAATCACTATGATCCGCAATCCATACGCGAAATATCCGATGATGTAACAAAAAAATGGCAGCAATTGGTTACTTATGCTGAAGAGCGCCATAAGCTTGTAACAGCGTCCATCAATTTCTATAAAACAGCTGAACAGGTCTGTTCAGTTTTAGACAGTTTGGAAAGGGAATATCGACGGGAGGATGATTGGTGTGGTGGAGGTGGGTCTAGTGATAAGGCTCAAACCATTGTTCAGCTTATTTCCAAACATCAAGAGCAAAAGGAAGCTTTCCTTAAAGCGTGTACCTTAGCTCGGCGTACAGCGGAAACGTTCCTTAAGTACGCAAATCGTTCTCAACAATACTACAAATATCAATCTCAAGGCAATTGCGAAAACAGAGTGAAAGCAATATTAGATAAATTATTAACACAAGAGAACCAAGTTTTAGAATTTTGGACACAACGAAAAAAATCGCTCGACCAGTGCCAGCAGTTCGTACTTTTTGAGCGTAGTGCGAAACAAGCTATCGAATGGATACATAATACAGGGGAAGCATATCTCTCATCGCGTTCCAATTTGATTGGGAAAACGCGTGAAGAGACAGAAAATTTGCTTAAGGAACACAACGAATTTAGAGGCACTGCTAAAGAGACACGAGAACGTGTTAAATTACTTATACAGTTGGCAGATAGCTTAGTAGAAAAAGGACATGCTCATGCTAGCTCTATTAAACAATGGGTGGCATCTGTGGATCAAAGGTTTGTATTCATACATGAAAGCATTTGTTTGTTTTTTTTTTTTTTTTTTTAAGCAAGAAAGGAATTTTTTGTTTGAATAGATATAAGGCCTTCAGTAATCGTATGGACTCATATCGCGGGCAACTTGAAAAATCCCTAGGTATGTCAACGATGCCTGCAGATCCTGATCCTAATACTTCAATCAGTTCCGTTTCAGGTATTTTGTGCTTATATAACTATATATATATATAAAAATTAAAAACATTTATAATTATTCAGGCTCGTCAACTGATCGACATTCCGATCCCTCGCTAGAGGCTAAATTAACTACGTCCACTACAGCTGTTTCAAAGGAAATCAATGAAGAGAAACGAAAATCTGCCCGTAGAAAAGAATTTATTATGGCCGAGTTAATGCAAACGGAAAGAACTTATGTAAAAGATTTGGAGATTTGCATAAAGAATTTTTTAGAGGAATTCCGTACGGGACATGGTGTACCATCGACCCTTATTGGCAAAGAGGATATTATATTTGGTAATATACGGGAAATTCACAATTTCCATCAGAAAATCTTTTTACGCGAATTAGAGAAATATGAAACAATGCCAGAGGATGTTGGCCATTGTTTTGTTACTTGGGCATCAAAATTTGATATGTACGTCATCTACTGTAAAAATAAACCAACTTCCAACAATTTATTAGTACAACATGCTGGCACTTACTTTGAAGAATTGCAACACAAACACAAAGTGGAGCATCCTCTACCTGCCTTCCTAATTAAGCCAGTGCAGAGAATTACTAAATACCAGCTGCTTTTAAAGGACTTACTCTCTTGCTGTGAAGAAGGTCATGGTGAAATAAAAGAAGGCCTCGAAGTTATGCTAAACGTACCCAAAAAAGCTAACGATGCGATGCATCTATCTCTACTTGAAAACTGTGATATTACAACAGACAGTTTAGGTGAAGTAGTATTGCAAGACGCATTCCAAGTTTGGGATACAAAACAAATAATAAGAAAAGGCCGAGAACGTCGTGTATTCTTGTTCGAACTCTATTTACTATTTGCGAAAGAAGTCAAGGATTCAAATGGCTCCGTTAAATATCAGTATAAAAACAAGCTTATGACTACTGGTAGGTATTCTCTTGCATTTAAAGCACCATTAAAAACGTATAACTAGGTGGCATACTTCTGCATTATTTATAGACCTTGGGATTACTGAGCATATTGAGGGCGATGAAACGAAATTTGCTGTTTGGACTGGACGCTCACCTATGCTATCCGACTGTCGGATTGTACTTAAAGCTAATAGTTTAGACACTAAACAAGTAAGTACCAAATTTTATCAATGGCTCGTTAGCCAGGAGTTTTCAATGTTATTATAAATCACCTGATTTGCTCTAAATAAAACCTTTCTTTTGGTGGTAGAGTTAAACGACACGAAACAAAATGAATACCCTGGGCAGGCATTGATAACAAGACTTCGAAGCCTGTGCGAATATAATCAGTATTTGTATGCAACCGCTATCAAATCTCTGAAACTATCTTTCAAACGATGCCATACATTTCTCTAAACAACATTCCTTTAAATAATAGATTTATAAGTCTATGAACTTATATAATTGCCCTTATTTCCCTAAGAGAGGCAAAGTATTCATTATGAATATGGACATTCTTTTAAATAATTGGAAATTTGGAGGCATTTCAAGAGAGTTTAGTTTATTAGAAAATAAATGGTTGACTTGATCATAATGTATTTCACAGGAACCTTGATGCACTCGTTTAGTTATCTAGTTAGTCTTTTAGTTATACAATGGAAAACGATGTTTAATTGTTAATAATAATTTGTTTTTTTTTTTAGGTTTGGGCGAAGAAACTGCGAGAAGTTATGCAGGAGACATGTTTCTCGGGTACGTCTCTAACACTTCCAAAGTCTCCTGCGAAAAATTCATCGTCATCTCAACGTTCCTCTCGTGATCTGGACGACCCCTTGACAGAAAACGATCACGATCGATGTTCTTTAGCTAGTTTTGGGTCTGGCAATACCACCGATAGTGATAACAAGGTAAGTAGAATACTTCAAAATGTTGCGTCATACACAAACTCGCGAACTTAAAGTTTTACTTGATCTATAGATACATGTATATGTAATCCTTAAAAGTTTCCATATCAACCTAAGACAAACTGCTTTTTATCATACTTTTAAAGGTTTCCTTTGAACACAACGAGGTAGTGTTCAAGTCGCCTCAGTTAATAGTAGGAGATTATTTCTATAAATTTCGAAAAAAAAGGTATTCCTAGAACTGTAATAACTATTTCACACACTCTCACACCCACTACTGAAAGATAGCAGTAGTAGCTTGTCTGTATTCGATCTGACATAGAAATACACAACTGCGCGGGCATTTCCTTCAAATCCGCTTAAAGTCTTCAAAATTGAAGCTTTCTCGAAAAGAAGCTATTTTATCATATGCATCAGGAAAATATCATTTTTTGGGCGTTTGAATATTTCTTCAATGAAATAGAGTGATGTTAGATGGAAAATAGAACTTGGAAATTGAAAAACTATATATCTTTTCACGCTCACTCGGCTTTGGTCATTTATTTGTTCGTTCAATGCTTAATGAGTTCATTTTTGTTTTTTTTGTTTTTTTTTTTTTTGTATAAAGTCTTTAAAAGAATGGAATCTGAAAGGTTGCCTAAAAGTATGAAAAGCAAAAAAAATTCATAACAAATCCGTTCAGAAGAAATGTAGTACGATATTCATGGTTCAAATGTCTTTTAAAAAAAATCAATTTAAGATTTAAAAATGATAAATGATCCGAGGAATTTTTTTTTTTTTTTTTTGTGTTCTCTATACACGAATGTATAGCAAAGTAGAGCACTTTGTCCAAATCACACACAGTGAGAATGTTAAAAATGAAGAGAAACTTAACGTTTATGAAGAAATTTTGAATTTGTAAATGATTTAAATCACATATGAAAATGAAAAACGATGGTCTCTAAGAAAAGGAGACGTCCTGTTAAAAAATAATAATATTGCAAGAGATGTTTTAGTTCTAGGAAGATCTTTTGTTCCAGTTGTTATGGCTCGCCTGGTGTCGTTAAATTAGAAACTTTCGAATAGGGATATTAGCAAATATTTCAGAACTTTTAATGAGCAAAAATATCATCCATCTTGGTTTTTGACTTTTACATATATATAAAAATTTCGTGTAGGGTTTTTTCTTATAACGACAGATCAATATGATTAAAATGGCAGCTAACTGTTGACAAGAGTTCACACATTTCATTTCATCCACTATATACTTCACTTTTTAAACTACGATCTTCATAGCTGTGATAGCATTTTGAAAGACACCGTTAAGAGATGGCATACGAATTAGAAACTCATCCATCGAAGTCATCAACTTTGAAACACATATCTAGATCATCCGCTTATAAAGATAATTGTAGTATTCAGTATAGCAATGATCCTGTGCATATACATGTTCGGTTGTTGATTAAATTTTCTAACTTGAACATTTGTAGTAACCCTTGTGATTTATAAGCTAAAAGCTTTATTTAGTTAAAAAAGGATACGTCATACACTGTAGTGGCATTTCGAATGTTTGCTTCTGCAGGTAAAAAAACAAATTCAAAAATTTGTTCTCAACATGTACCTCCTTCTCGCGGTGACAGTATAAAAATAAAATATCAAACTGTACTGGTGTCTATAAAAATTTTGCATGCAGAATATGTAAGAAGACGAAGAAGAAGAAGAAGAAAAAAAATTAATTATGTTGCAGAGCCTTCATTTCGCTGCATGTACATATATATATATATATATATATATATGTGTGAAAGAAAGGAAAAAAAAAAAAAATAATACATAATAATAATAATAAATAAATAAATAATGTGGATGCTCTCTTTTCTTCCGTTTGAAATAACAATAATATCTCTTATGCATATATAAAATGAAGCTTTTTATACTTGCTGTAGACTCTCTTTTTAAGTGAGTATATAGTAAACTTTCGTCATATACCTTCGCTAGTACGCTAAAGAACTGTGATTGGCAAAATTCCTAAAAAGAAAATAGAATATCTACGTTAGCTACGCTTGTGTACGGGTCAACATTTGTATAAAAATATTTCCTCCAGTCGCGCGCAACGCATTATTAATTGATATTGAATTGCGGTAGTAGTAATATTATCAAAGCATATATTCCGTGTAATTTGTGTTAATGATACCGTGCAAACAGTCAAATCGGTCGGTCGTTTAAACAATTCAATCCGTCCTTCAACTATAACGGTCCGGTCCGTTCGTTCCTTCGTTCGTTCGGTTAATTGGTTGGTTTTTATTTCGCCAATAAATTTTCGTTATTTTTCCTTTGTTCTTCGCTCCAAAATTGTACTTCAGATGATTTGTGCGCGATGACAGTTTATTAAAAAAAAAAAAAGAAAAAACAGAAAAAACAGAAAAAACAGAAAAAGCACAAAAAAACTTATTAAAACTTATTAAACATTCGTTTGCGACTTCAATATTTTTCATACTAAACCGCAAAGGATTTGCAAGCTTATGTAAATTATTGCGAATACAATTAATTTGGGTTTCTCCCATACAACATATACGTATGTAAAAAAGTTATAATCTTTCAACGTATATTATTCAGTAATGAATACATACATATAACTAAAAAAAAAATTCGTGAATATTTTTATTTGAAACTCAACAACCAACTGCACACACTATATGTACATATAATCATAGATATACTCTAATGAAAGCAAACGTATAGTGCTCATGTTGTTACATACATACATACTATCTTTCTATCTATATCTATCTATCTATCTATCTATCTATCTGCATAAAAACAATGCGATGCAATGCAATGCAATGCAATACAATGCAATACAATAAGATACAGAATGAAAATATAAACAAAAAAGAATTAGTATAATAATAATAATAATAATAATAATAATGAGAAAAAACAAAAAAAAAAA